GTGTGTGTGTGTGTGTGTGTGTGTGTGTGTGTGTGTGTGTGTGTGTGTAGGGGGAGTGTCAGGTTTTCCAAACCGAACAATGAAGGTCTCAGCACTGGACCACAAACATGTAAAGACAAACAAAGGCTGTCTCATGACTGAGCAGGGTTGTGTTACCAGGGTTGTGTTTTTAGACTGAAGGATGGGTGTGGTRTTTCTGCTGCTGCACACTGACACTTGGCTCATACTGGTCCACAACCATCTAAATACTGCTGTTCCATGAGCTATTTCTGATCACACAGTCACATTCTGGACAAACTGGGATTTAATGTAGCTGAGGAAACTGAGCTAACCCTAACGCTCTGAGGGGAAATCAGAACTTCATGACAAAAAATGATTTTTAATCATCTTTACTGGGAGTAATGGTCCTAATCTTCAGAGAGCAGTTTAGTATTAGGACCGGGGGTTAAGAGAAGACGTTCCCTCAGCTGCTCCAAACAGCACCACAGAGTTAGTTTCTGTGCTTCTCTTTTCAGGTCTTTTCTTTCTTTCTCACAGGATTTCTCATTGAAATTCACAGTTTGACCCATGTTCCATTTTTTCCTCAGAGCTCTGAAGTGAAGAAAGTAGGCCATTAGGCTGCAGTGCTGCTTCTCTTCCAGTTCTACTCTACCCTCTACCACCTTGGTACGTTCAGGCCTCAGCTAGTCTTCCTCACATCATTTTCATCAAGAAATTCAACAGATCTAAAAAGTTTCAAGAACCTTTTGTTCCTCTCACATCTGTCTCCTATGACTGATTTTAAAGGGTTTTCAGGAACTGTGTTGGTGCAGACTCTGTAGTTTCAGGGAACATTACAATCACAAAATGCACCTGTGAAGGTGGAGTCACTTCTAGGTCTGTCACAGTAACAAAATTAGCTGGATGATAAATTGTCTCAGAAATGATTGTGATTAACAATAATATTGTTTGGAGACTAGTGAAACTAATAATGATAATCCCCCACTCCCCCACTAATGAAGCTTTCAGAAGTTTATGAAATTTACGTATATAAAAAAGTTCAAACCAGACCTGGACTGGAAATTAGGAAAACGACACATAACAGCTACTGAAGTTGTAATATCACTACCCTTCTTTACCCAACACATCATTTATTTTGTTTCTAAGTAACTATGGTCACACTCACCCAGTATACAAAATGTATAAAATTTCTGTAGTGGTAAAATAAAAAAGAAAAAAAGATCTGCTAACCCAAGGTTTGGCACGGTGCCTTGAAGGCATCCTGAGGCGTCGCCAGCAAAGGTGCAGGAAMAGCAAACTATAAGCTATAAACTATAAGCTCCTCTAGCTAAATGCTTGCTGATGAGACTTTCATGCTGCAGAGGYTATGAGACCATGCACATGACAAATACCTGACACCAGAGTTTACTCCTCCCTGTGCTAAGGAGCAGTAAATGGGTTTGCCCCATCTTATGTGATCTCCTTAACACCCCTGTAAGAGCACCTGCTCAACCAGCAAGTTTGTCCTTGATGTTCTAAGAACAAGGCTGAAACAAGCTTGATTCACAAGACAGTTCCACAAAATCACAGCACAGACCTGTGCAGGGGCTTTGTTCCCCCTCAGGTGAGTGATTCATAAAATCACAGGTGAAGTGGCCAGGTCTGCTCAGGTACACGGTCAGAACTGAACCAGCAATCCAAACCAAAAGAGGCCTGGAGCAGAGGTCAGCTGGGCTGAAGTGGACCGTGACGGATTTATTGATCTGCCGGGCTCGGTCCCGGCTCTGATACTACCTGTGCTTGTGGCTCAGGGGCGTATCAGAGGTGGGGCTGCCATGCACCGGCACCACCGGACCCTCTGACCACCTCATTTTTAAATTTATTGTGCAATTAACTGATTCATTGCTTATCATGACAGGCCTGACCGCCTCTACAGTTTTACAGACATGTTTCAGTTTTAGCAGAGCAGAAAGGGAGACCTTTGAATGTTTAAACCTCAACCTCCTAAAAAGTCTGAAACTGATGAAAGTTTTTTGTAAGACTTGGTGAAAACTATCAGTTCAGAGAGACTGCAGCTGATTTTTATTGTCTGTTTTCATTCAGATAGGTAGAAGAAAACCTGCTGAGCTGGAACTTAACTTGGAATCAACTGATACTATTTTCACCTCAAAAGCTGAAATGTTGTTTCATTTTATTTATGTACATCATGCTGTATTTTATAAAGATTAATATTCACCTGAAACATTTAAATGATGCTTTAATAACACTTCAGATGATCACTTAATCAGTCAAAAACAGAACTTGTTAACGTGTCTCCTGTAATTTTCTCTTGTGTATGTTGGAGAAGAATGTGATGATTTTACTGGGTTTGTTTCTTTAGTGGATGATGAAGAGCAGGCTCTGATTGGACAAAGAGCTGGACTCATTTTCTTTCTTGGGTCTTTGGTATCCTGGTCCCTTCAGGTTAATCTGATGAAGTAGCAGATGCAGCGGCTTATTAACCTGGAGCCACCTGAAAAGAACCTGACACAGGAACACAACCTGAAAAGAACCTGACACAGGAACACAACCTGAAAAGAACCTGACACAGGAACACAACCTGAAAAGAACCTGACACAGGAACACAACCTGAAAAGAACCTGACACAGGAACACAACCTGAAAAGAACCTGACACAGGAACACAACCTGAAGAGAACTTGACACTGGAACATGTGTACTGTAGAGAAAAAGCAAACATGACACAATAAGAACCACCAGCAGTCCTACTGGACCCAAAAAGAACCAACAACAGTCCAACAAGACCCAGTAAGAACCAGCAGCAGTCCAACAGGACCCAAAAAGAACCAACAACAGTCCAACAGGACCCAAAAAGAACCAACAACAGTCCAACAGGACCCAAAAAGAACCAACAACAGTCCAACAGGACCCAAAAAGAACCAACAACAGTCC